GCAGTTTATGAACACTACATATCTTGATCAAGTTTATCCCTTTCAACCTTCTAACCCATCCTTCCCCTGCCCAGCCCTTCCTTTCCTATTCTTAACGCCCGTCCTGCGCCTGCCCCTCCCTCGCGTGGCCCCGCCAGCCCTGCTCCCTGCCTGACGCAGGCTCCGCCTCTCCACCTGCCTCCCCCTCACCAGCCCCGCCCTGCCTCCGCCTCTCTTTACCCTCGCGTCTATCTTTCCTCAAGCTTCGTTTCCCAACGCACGGCTCCGCCCCGCTACGGTCCTTTTACTGCCCGAGGTTCCGCCCAGCCTCAGGCTCCGCCCCTCCCGGCAACTCTTCGTCGTGGCCCCGCCCAGTCTTAGGCTCCGCCCCACTCAGCCTTTCTTCACCCTTGGCCCCGCCCTTCCTCATGCTTCAGACCCGCCAGACCATTCCACCGTTCCCCGCCCCCGACCTCGGCCTTTCTTCACCCGCGATTCCGCCCACCCTCAGGCTCCACCCTCGCCAGCCGAGGGTTTTACCTCCGCTTGGTCTTTCTTTACCCGTTGTATTGCCTATCCGCAGACTCCGACTCCGCCCCGCCCAGCCTTTCTTCCCGCTAGTCCCGCCCAGCCTCGAACTCCACCCCGCCCCGCCGGCCTTTCTTCCTCTGGCCCCGCCCAACCTTGGACTCCACCCCGCCTCTGGCTCCACCCCACTCAGCCTTTCTTCACGGTGACCCCGCCCTGCCAGCTGGCTCTGCTCCGCCCAGCCTCGCTTCCCTTGGCCCCGCCCAGCGGAAGGCCCCGCCCCCTCAGGCCTCGCCCCTCCCGCCCTGCTCCAGCGCGGCCCCGCCCCTCCCTGTCCGCACCCGTGGTGGGTGCCCACCCGCCCGCGGGCTGCGGGGCCTGGGGTCCTACATCGGGCTCCGCCCTTCCCGGCCGGGCGGGGCTGCGTCCTCCAGTCCAGCAGCCCCCAGTGCGGCCCCCATTCTGCAGGTCTTTGTCTTCCTGGCGGGAGGGGTCTTTGTCTTCCAGGAGGGAGGGGAGAGGCAGGGCCCTGGGGCCGGGGATTCGACCCCGCCCTCCGCCTCCACTCCAGCAGTGTCTCCTCCCGTGGTCCTCCGGTTCCTTTCCCCGCAAGGAATGCTGAGGAGGTGGAACTGAGGGCGCAGGGCCCCACCCCCCGCACAGGAGGTGGTCACCTCATCCCAGGGCAGTGACCCTGGCAGGAAGGCCCTGGCCGCTTGGGGAGACCCCTCTCCGGGCTGGGGCTGGTTGTGAGGACTACAGTCAGGCCTCGTGATCCCCAAGACAACATATGGAGTATATTATTAGGGGTGTGTGTGTGTGTGCGCGCGCGCCTACTGCGCCTACTGCGCCTGGGGCTTGAACTCAGGGCCTGGGCTCTGTCCTTAAACTTGTGCTCAAGGCTGGTGTTCTACCACTTGACCCACGACTCCACTTCCAGCCTTTTGCTGGTTAATTGGAGATAAGAGTCTTAGAAACTTTTCTTCGGTGGATGCCTGTTTTGAACCATCATCCTCAGATCTCAGCCTCCTGAGGATTTTAAAAGCAGGCTCCTAGCTACACACTTTTTTTTTCCGTTCAAGTTACATCAGTCAACAAAGATTCTTAAGACACAAAGTTTACCATAGTTTCTCTAGTTTTGTTCATTTTCATGGTTACAAACAACAGTTGAATCAATGGTTTCAAATTCAGTTTTTTAAATCTATATATTACAATCATACATTTTCTCATGTGTATATTACAGGGAAACATTTGAGTACAAATACACTTTAATCCAATTAGAAACAACAGTCCACCAAAAGATTCTCCTCACAAAGATATCTGAGATATTTAAAACAGATACAAATTTCAAAATTAGGCCTTTTGTAATGATTACATTTTTAAACAGAACATTCATTTCCTTATTTGGCAGGGTGTTTCCATTTCTAATTTAAGCTCTCTTTTCAATCATTACAATGCCTATAAGCTGCAAACTGGAGTACTTTGGTTTTAGGGGGTTTTAGAGGAGCCACTTAAATCTTCTGAGTAATGTAGGTCCCCAGGAGCTGAAGGTGAGTTCAGAGAATAGATCACCTGCCTGGCAAGTGCAGAGCCCTGAGTTCCATATAGCATAAAACAAAAAGTCAAGCTGTAGGGAATGATCATTGGAACTCTACATCATGCTAGAAATGTAAAAGCATTGGTCCTCCTTTTTTTATTAGTAGACTGTCACAGTCTACTTGGTGGGTCATGCCTGTAATCCTAGCTACGAGAGCCTAAGAGCTGAGGATCTTGGTTCCAAGCAGCACTTGCTGGAAAGTCTATGAAACTCTTATCTCAAATTAACCAGTAAAAAGCTGGAGTGGAGCTGTAACACAAAAAAGTGGTAAAATGTTAGACTTGAGCAAAAAAGCTCAAGGACAGCACCCAGACCCAGAATTCAAGCACTAAGACCAACTAAGATCAACACACACACACACACACACACACACACACACACACACACACACGGGAAAAAGGGAAAACCTAGTTAGATGAAGCCAATGTAATGAATGAGGATACTAAGATACTGTGTGTGTGTGTGTGTGTGTGTGTGTGTGTGTGTGTGTGTATTCGTGTGCATGCACTTGTTTTAGGGATTG